CAGCCCCCAACAAGATCGTCTGTCGCGTCAATTCTTCTTCGAGTGGCCACAGTGGGTTCATCTTCTGGATATCGATCTCTTGTCTTTCGCTTTCTGCTTGTCTCAGGGACTTGGTGAGAATTGCCCAGGGCTGTTGTGGATCCGGTGGGTGCCTCAGTCTGATGCAGCTCTTCAGGTTGTTCTACTCTTTCTCTCCGCTTACTGCTTCGTTTCGGAGATGGTGGAGCCTCAAAAAAGGAGGCAGGAAGGCCGTGACGGAGAATTGTCTCGAGGATTCCGCATTCAATTTTGGCATTCGGATCAAAGTCGCCCTTGGCTTTGGTAGCCAATTTTGCCCAATCTTCGCCCTCGGGTCGGACCATCAAGTCAAAGCTCACGAGATCACGAGGAAGAAATCGAATCTTGCGCTCCAGTCTTTGGTGACTGCCATCAGCATTCACCTTTCTCCTCGAGTTGACGAGTTCAACCCCAAAAGGTACACTCGTTGCAACACCCTCGTCTATGACAGCGCCGCGACTAAGCTTTCGAACGAGCAGCAAAGGACAGACATGGCGCAAAAAGTCCTTGGTCGACAACTGCACCTCTTCAATCAAGAATTGCCTCAACATTGCTTGGTCAATCTCCACATCCCATCCATTCCTTAAACCTCGAAGGGAATGCAGCTGTTCCCGGCTAGATGTAACTGGGTCGTTGTAGTGCTTCAGGTGCAGAGGGCGTGGCCAATCGGCGGGAATTTCGACGTCCTTGTTCTTGAAAAAATCCAGCATGTCGAATCTGAAATGCGGGAGACGGCTGTTCGGGGACTCGCAAAGCCTTTTGCCGTAGCCCTTCTTAACTGCCTTCAATGCCAGTGTTGGTCCGCATCCCTTCAGGCCCTGTCTGTTGTAGTCACCGCCGGCCAGCATTGCAAAGAGTACCATCCCTTCGCGATCGAGTTGGTGTTTTTGGAGGATCTCGTGCGCGCGATGGACACGGACACGACTCTCGTCCTTCTTTTGGCCCTTCCCACCTTCCTTGGGAACCTTGTGGGTACGGAAAAGCAACGTGCAGCCAAACATGAGCGTGTCACTGTCCTCAGACCACACGGCATCCACGATCCCCTCTTGTTGTAGTCGAGCGCATTCTGCTTCTGCCTCGGCGGGTGCTCGATGGTGTGGGACTCGTAGTCGGTCGAGAAGCTTCCGCAGGACGTTGATTTTTGAGTAGTCGACACGACCAGCAGGACCACCTCGTTTCCAAGGCCTTTTTGGGCCGTCGAAAATGAAGATGAGCTGGACATTGAGCCCGAGTATCTTGGTGATCCGGTAAAACAAGAGTCGTTCGACGGGGTTTGCATTGGGGGTTTCTACCTCGTGTTTTAGAACGGTTCCATTGAACCAAAAGAAGGACAATTACCTTTCAAGATTCCCTTGACTTGATGCTCGTTGAGGTTGTGGAATCGCCATCCCGCTTCGTCGACGGCGATGCGGAGAGGCCGACCGGTGCGCCGAAAGTGATCAGAGGCAAGTTGGGCGATTTCTGTTACATCTCCTTCTCCAACAATGTCCCAGAGACTGCAGCGGCATGAGTAGAGGTCCAATTTCTGTGTCAATGAGTGCATACCCTGTGATACCCATGATGGCGGTCTTTGGCGACAGCCAATACGTTGGTTGAGCTGTGGAGGAGAGTCGGTGGAGCCAGCGTCGCGTCGTCGGAAAGTTACCTAGCTCGAGACGCGTCGGTAAGGTATCCCTGCGCGATGACGTAAAATCCGGTCGCGTCTGAACGCGTCTTCTTGGTTGGAGACGCCCAACACTGTCCAAGTTCATCCAATTTCTCAATTGTTCTCTTCTTATCCGACTCGCAGCATTACCATTCGTCGTCAATCCAGCCTCGTTATCAGCAGTCTGACAGACCACGTCCTTGCCAGCGACCTCTAACCTGACGCCCTCAATTAACACCACCGAAACGCCAGATGGCCAATTTCATGGCACGCCCTTTGCTGCAACACCTCTACCAGACAAGACCGAGATGCTTACCAAGGCAAAAAATAAGGAGGAGAAGATTGATGACGCAGTAATATCCCAATTATTCCTAACTTTAATGGAGCTTATCTAATTAAAATCTTAGTGGTCGAAACGTTCAGCTTTTGATCTTTCTTTCGACATCACGCAGCTTGTCAATATTGTGAGCGATTTCGAGAAACGCTGGCAAAGATTCCGCACGAGACGGGATGGCTACACCGCATGGTGCCCGTGCCCGAACGTCTTCGGAATCCAGAAGCGATAGTTTTTCTGGGCACTTGCCCAAGACACAACGAATCAGTAGACTTCACCGCTGTCCCGATCGAACAACGAGATTTAACACTACTCATCCTCATGGCAGTCCAGGAAGTCTTTGGAAAACTGGTGATATTGTTTGACCTTCGCATTATTTGCCAACGGAAGCCTGAGAAGGCCGGCCCGACCAAGTATTACAAATGGTTCCAAGATAAGCATAGGGTGGCGCAGCTAAACCTAGCCATTAAGCTAGAACTCCTGATTGCCAGGACAACATACAACATTAAGTAAGTAGTAGATGGACCACCATTAACATATATTGACCATGTTGCTCTACAGATTTGCGGCCCAAGTTGAAGTACGGACAAGCTAACTTCCTCGATGTTCCATTTATCCACAATCTTGACCACATTGGACACATCAAAACCACGGGCCAAATTTGTAAGCGTAGCCATGTTGTAGACTCGTCACAACCTGACTAAATTTGCTAGAAACCTGCACTAAGTACTCAGAACCTTTAAGGACGAGTCTGAAGTCTATAACGCCATCCATGCCTTTCTCATGCCATGGTGTTGAACACATCCCAACATGGGATGAAGACCTTCTTACAGTTAGAACCATGTCCGAATTTGAGCAGAAGATGCTTAAATGGCAAGAGGTCATGGTCTTCAACATAGAGGAAGAGAAGAAGGCGCTCAAGTGGAAGCCTATGGAGTTGACTAAGCGGGTCAAGCCAGAAGATCAAGCAAAACTTACGCAACTCACGCGTGAGTCGATCAATGCCCTAGCAGCTCAAATCCCTGCTATTGATGCTGCTGCTGGAGTAAACAATAAGAGAAATCAACCAAGGCCAGAGGGCATGTCTGATCAGGCAGCGGTATGTATTGCCTGCCGTGAGTTGCATGAACGAGACCAGTCCTTTGTGGGAAATAAGAAGGGACGACAGAAGGTTACTGAGAGGAATAAGACAAGTGATTCCAACTACTCAGATTGCTGTCGTGCCTGCTGGGCGCAACTTTCGGCACCTTGATGTGTGTAAGAGAGCTGAAGAGAAAGCGGGAGGAACAGGAAGAGGGAGCATTCATTCACTGTTGCGGATGAGACTAGGGAGCGGTCGGCTGTTACCGCTCGGGCTCGATGGTATCCTCTAGCGTCTGAGCCGCGTTGGGAGCATTCATGTTGCCGGGCGACGGGGGCGCGTCGACGGACGAATGCATCCAGTCAGACATGCAGAGAGAGAGAGAGAGAGAGAGAGAGAGGGAGAAAAACAAAGGTGAGGCGAGGAGAGGCGAGGTCGAACGACGGCTCCTACGCGTAGTACTTCGAAGGAAAGCCGAAAAAGAGTAGGAAAAAAAAACCCTCAATTTCTTATTTTTATTCTTAACCATGCTCCCCTCTTTGTCATGATTCATCCTGTGCCGAGGCTTGAAGGGTCAGTGTGCCTGCACAGTAGGTGGCTTCGTCCCTGACAACCAAGAGGAAGGAGCATCGCCCCACCGGAGCCGAGCCTAAAGCCGGTATTTTCGCGCACCTTCAATTCGTACTGTCTCGGCCAAGATCCAAACCTGATGTCTCATGCTTCTCACAACTCCGTCACCCGTCTCCTCGCCAGAAGATGCCTCGCAAACTCCCTTGGCTAAGTTAGAAATCGCTTCATGCTGCCAACTGAGACGACCAAAAAGCTGCTCCCCCTATGCAAACTCCAAACGAGTAGGTTTCCTGCGCCAACCTACCACGCAGCTGGATTCTTACGTTATCCAGCTCAAAAAATGGTGATGATGATTGGGTCATGGTTGAAGACGAATTGCTCGCCACCGCTCAACTCTTCACCAGGCCAATCCATCTTGCGCATTACAAAAAGCTCTTCCCGGATGATGAGCGTGCAGCGCTGGAGCGCACCGATACTTGCCACGGTTACTCTGAACCCTTGAATCAGTCGAGCCAGCTCTCGTCAACCTCACAATCCATCAACCGCACACGCAGAAAGAAGTACAGGGCGACTCCAAGGCATAGCGTAGCCAAACTTTGGGCTTCAACGGCTACTGACTCTTCGTCTCGTGCGAGCAATTTCGACTGTCGAGCAGCCGACGCCGCAGCAGCACTTGAGTTGTCCATCAACGGGTCGGATCGGTGAGGTTGTGAGCGCAAATTCGTCATGAACGATGGAAACCGAACTTGAAGCAGGCCACATCCGCTGTATGTGACACCGATTGCTTGTCGCGTTCGCGAGCAGACGCGCTCGGGGTTGACTGTGGACGTTGGAGCGACAGCCGTGTGGAGATGGTCGAGACAAGCAGGGGTGTGTGCACTCCCCTAACCACATTAGGAACTTTTAAGCGAGGGCCACGTTCTCCGACTCGCAAAATTCCGCCCGCCCTCCACACACTTTACGAGCAACACACGTCCCCAACGTATTGAAGATTCCCATGAAATTTTGAACTGGGAAAGATGCTTTGGTGCGAAGACAGGCCCAATTTCCGATGTAGCATCTCTAGAGCGATGGTACATGTGGAAAGAATGATCAAGCTCGTCGGGAGCTACTTCTCGCATTGCAAGCGAACGTCCTCGAGAGAAAAAATATTTGGAAGGAACATCTTCCATGCTGTCCGAGGTCACGCCTGTTCTATTGTAACTTTATGAGACAGCGCATTTTATCCACTTCCTCTCACCCCACATTACTCGTGTCCTGTTCTGCAGTCTTAGGTCTGATGGAGCAAAAAGAGAGCAAAAAGACAAGGCTAGAGGTCTATCCCGGGTTCGAACCGGGGTTGCCGGAATTTTTCGAAAGTCAAGCAGTATTACGGTGAATCCTGCTTACATCTCAAAATCCGGAGTGCTGCCACTACACCAATAGGCCTGTGATACGATAGGGAACTGAAAAGTACAATATATATACTGTTAATTAAAATGCTACGAAGTCCTTTCGTTCGCCGCCACTTCGCCGCAAGTCGATTCTCCGAGCGTTTATGATGGCTTATTAATGGATCAAAATAGCCGCTAGTGCTGATAGTTCCTGGTTCGATTGATTGAAAATGTGTGGGCAACTATTTGAGCTAGAAGTGTGCTGCAACTACAAAACCCGATGCAAAACTCGGTCTGGCGAAACATAAAAAGCATTCGCTCCTAGCACAAATCGCTTTCCATTGATAGCTTTCACAATCGTTAGGCATGATACTAGATCACTAAAGGCGTGCGTGGGTGACAAATCAGTACGTAGGTAGTCGAGAAAAATGTTGCAGCCAAGTCAGGAAACGAGCCTTGGGTTTTTCGGGGCATGGCTACGCCACAAAGCGAACAGGCCTCCTCGGAAAAATAGGAGACGTGCAGGATAATATTAGAGCCCTAGTTGGCGGAGAAGATATCAACTCATTGGACATCGTATTGCAACTGATGCTCCTCCGCAGACAACTACATTTTTCTGGCGACAGTTTTCATAGAATACCAAAGGGGGACAATCAGTCCTGTCTCATACCCCATTAATCAAGAGACCTATCAAAGACCCTGCAAATCTCCACTGCGGCCGCGTCCAGGGAGTATTCATCTACTACCACAATTGTGCCTTGGGAACGAACGTCCGCTATCACATTTGGCCCGTAGATTTCTGACACCCCATTTTCAACATCTGATCCCCCTTTCTGGATCATTACATTTTCTTACGTTCTGAAATTGTTTAAGTGCAAATGAGAAGCTGATGCGACCATTGTCGATGAGGTTCAACATCTATGCCATGATGTCAAAAGAGCGCAAGTCAAGCAGTGTCGCACTCACCTCTCGGAGTTCGCGGGAGGGATATCCAGCCAACGTTCTCGCCTTCAGCTGCGCTCGAATCTTTAGATGGAAGACCTTCTTGTCTCCATCTGGACTTATGAGCATGTTCCCGACTAGATCCAGCAGAGTTACATCTTCGACGGCCTCTCGCTTCTGCATTGTGGTAATGTCCAACTGCGTCACTGAAGTGCTCTGGACCTACTGACAAGCCCGGCAGATCAATGAACCACGATTGGTTCAAACTATATGTATCGTGGATCCGGGTGTTGATGACAAGAGTTCGAATTCCTCTTCCCGCAACGAGAATCGGGGGGCAGTCATTCGCTCCCACAGCTCTGCTGTTCGCCGCTGCAGCTAGATATAGAGAGTACATCTTCGACACCCACTGTGCTACGCTGGCACAGGGTTGGTCACACAACCGCAGTTCTAGGCCTTTGTCGAAGTGCAGCGCACTGCATACGTTGAAAGCAAGATGCGTCTGCACAACGTGTGATTATCGTCAGCGCATGTGAACAGACAGTTTTATTTTCCTGGCTGGCATGAGTGGCGACACTGGACGGAAACTCTAGGTCGGCGGTTACAGATAATGATGGGCCAAAGACGGAGGCATGAAATAAAGCGATTGGCTGCGAGCGGTACATTTCAGCATGGCTGCATAGGATGGGCGTCTTTAGTGTTGGCAGCCCAAAAGCCTATTTCGACCTACTCTGGTCGATTTTTCACGCACGGCGTCGGCAGCAATTTGATTGGCGCGCGCTACGAGCTGGGCCTATCTTTCCGCATGGATGACAGTGTTTTTGCCACAAATGGATATGTTGCCATCGAGCATTCTTGACCTGCGAAGATTGCGGCCCAAGGCTTCGGGACCGCAATGGTCAAACACGGGGCCGATACATGTAAGCATGGCATTTGTAGTCTGTACCATCAGACACGTGTCAGCGGGGAAAGAGAAGAGGGGCAGCGGACCAGCAGCAGTAGCAGCAAAAGTGGAAATGGCAGGAGACGGCGACAGTGCGTGACGTGACTACTCTGCCTACCTTTGCGCGGAGGCGGGGCACTCTTTCCAGAAAGCTACCTCGTCTGTCGCTTTCCCTGCAGACGCCCTTCCTTCACCGCTCGTCATCATCTTCCGACAGTGCAGTCCAGTACGAGACGCAAGCATCCCAGACCCGGACAGACATACCAGCGGACCGGCCCGCCATAACTGCAAAGTCAAGGAATCCTCAGCGGGATACGTGCCGCCACCACAGCAAAGGAACCTAGCCTTGCCCGCCTAGCCAACATCAAACATCTTCTCGTCTCGGCCCCAGTCGATCACCCCGAAGCTTTCAGTCAACGTACAGCGCAAGATGGTACGTTGTCATCGGATCTGCAAACAGGAAATTCAAACTGACCAAGTTCGCCGCGCAGTCTGCCGACCTGAGCCAGCAGCAACTCGACGACTTTCGGGCTGCATTTGCAGTCTTTGTACGTCCTTGTACCCGAAGCGGGGGAGTCTAGTGCTAACGACACGCGCAGGACAAGAATAGCGATGGTAAAGTGCTTCGTCCAATACGTTTTCGGTCCTGACCGATATGCGTTACGCAGGCGTCATCACGGCCGAGGAGCTGGGCGAAGTAATGCGCTCGCTTGGACAGGAGCCGACAGAGGAAGAGCTTCGCGACATTGTCAACGAGTTGGACATCGACACGTCGGGGTCGATTGACTTTGAAGGTCTGTAGCCCATCCGTCAGATGCGCTGCTACCACTCACTCCGCCGTCATCCACCTTGACGACTACCAGCTCCAGTCTAACCAAACTTTTGCGGGTTTGTAGAGTTTCTGAAAATGATGGCGGCCAAGTCGAAGAGCATGGACACGGAGCAGGAGCTTCGCCAGGCCTTTGCCGTCTTCGACCGCGACGGCACCGGCACAATCGATGCTGGCGAGCTGTCCCATGTGCTTAAGTCGTTGGGAGAGAAGCTGAGCGACGCCGAAATTGACGAGATTATCAAACAAGCGGACTTGAATGGAGATGGCGCGATTGACTGTGAGTTACTCTGTCGTTGATGACCACATTGCTGACGCAGTGTCGAGATAATGAGTTTGTGCGCTTTATCAAGTCGCAATGACGAGGTGGTAATGCCTGGATTTTGGAAGGACTGGTAAGGTCGTTTGATGAGCTTTGAAAATGCCATTCTTTACGCAACCACATCTCTTTCCTTTGACCATATGATGCCGAAATGTAGAACTGCCTCTTCCGGATACGCCAAGTGCATCCTTGCCAAAGATGGGAAACCGGCGGGCCTGACACAAGCCACAAGTCGAATACCGTCGAGGGAGCTGACCACGACACGGAGATGATTTCTCCGAAAGACACCTCCTTTACGGCTCGAGCCCAAAGACCGCCGGCGAGGAGCATCAACCTGACACATTCAGCGAGAGTAGGGGTGGTGGATCAGCGCGGGGGTTGGGGGACCGTGCGGTTTGCAGATGGAGACAACAGGCCAGGCGGCTATCACGGCGCTCTCGTCTCGTCCCATCGCTTGCCTTGCGCGTTTCATCCGGGGCCGGTCTCGACGCTCGCTTCGCTGCTGCTTCGACTCGACGACTCCGACCGCCACAATATACCTATTGCCATGGCGCCCTCCTGTCGGCCTGTTTCGTTTCTCTTGTTTTCCTCTACTTCTCCACTCCGCTAGCCGGTTGTCGAATTGCCTTTCAAGTCCTTCTTTCTCTTCTGCTTGCGTTGAGCCTTTTGCTTTGGTACGAGTTGATCTCGTTACAGTCATTCTTTTCACCCAAAAACCACCCTCACTCATTCAAGCAACATGTACGCTCCCAAGAGCATTCTTCTGGCCGGGCTTGCCGGCTACGCCGCGGCGGGCACCACGCTGTGGGACGGTCGATTCAACGCGAAGACCGAGAGCAACCTGAAGAGCTGGTCATGGTCAAACCAGGCGGGCGCGTACCAATATTACATCCACGGCTCGGGTGAGCTGTCGTCTTACGTCAACGTTGCGGCCGACTTTAAGAATCCTGCCGACACGGCGTCGGACCTGGGAGCCAAGATCAGCATCGACTCGACGTCGCAGTGGAACAGTGGCGGCATGCTGCGGACTGAATTGATTCCCCAGACCGACGCCGCCATCAACGAGGGCACCGTCTACTACCACTTTTCGCTCATGCGCAAGGCCGCCAACGCACCAAACGCCGGCTATGAGCACCAGGTCTGCTTCTTCGAGAGCCACTTTACCGAGCTCAAGTACGGCCTCATCAGCGGCGAGAGCGGCTCCACTGACCCGGCTCTGAAATGGTACGCAAACTCGGAGAGCCAGTGGAACGCGACGCTCGAGCCCGGCGTCTGGCACAATGTTGCGTACGAAATCGACTTTTCCGGAGGTCAAGTGTCGTACTATCACTCGACGGGCGCCGAGGATCTCAAGAAGGTTGCCGGCCCTGTCAGTGTCGATGCCTCGTCCAACGGTGCTGACTGGCACTTGGGTGTCCTCCGCCTCAATGCTGGCACCGACGACACCAAGGAGGACTGGTACTTTTCTGGCGTGTACATTGAGAGTGGCGACCTCACCACGTCGGTTGCTGGTGGCAAGTCGTCGTCTTCGGGTGCCAGCTCTTCTTCCGGCGCCTCTGCTGCTGCCGCTGCTGTCGCGTCGACTCCGGCTGCTGTCTCGTCGCCTGCTGCCGTCTCGTCGCCAGTTGCTGTCTCCACCCCTGCCGCCGTGAGCACCCCGGCTGCCGTCTCGGCACCCTCTGCTCCATCCACCCTCGTGACGTTGGCGAGCTCCAGCGCCCCCGCGACCGCGACCACGACGGCAGCTGCCGCTAGCGATGGCACCACCACTTACAACAGCGAGGATGCGTCGGCATTGTACAAGTGGTACGAGAACCTGGTGTCGTTGATCGGACTCAACTAGGGGCGCCTAGCAAGAGACGGAAAAGGGGCGCGATTGATGCGATGGTGGAGTGGTCTTGTTGATGCGAGGGTCTTATGTTCATGTATATATCAGTTCTGCTTCTACCTTCTAAGGTGGAAGAGCTCATAAGAAGGACTGCTTGGTGCCCGCGTTTTTGCCTTCCTCCGGTGTTGTCA